TGCCCCATTCAAAAGTGACGATAATACTAATAATGAATAGTGGAATATGAATGAGCTTACTAGCAAGTGTGTTTAGAAGAAAATGAGATTAAAGCAAGATAACATAATTTTACTATTGTAGTTACTTATGGAGCTATGAACAATAAAGGCAAATCCATAAAAGTAAAGAACATTCCATAAAAAGAAACAGGGTAGAGCTGGGGAGAATAACTAGAGTTATGATGGAAAATTTACTCTGATTTGCTACTGTTGTGGCAAGAAAGGTCATGTAAAAAAGGAATGTAACAAAGGCAAAGCTTGGTTTGAAAAGAGAGGTATGAATATTTCTTTTGTATGTTATGAATCAAATCTTGTTGAGGTTCTTTCTAATACTTGGTGGATTGGTTCTAGAGCCACAACTCATGTTACTAATTCAATGCAAGGATTCCTTAGAACTTGGAACCTAAAAGAAAGTGAAAAGTTCCTCTATATTAGAAACTATCTCAAAGTAGTAGTAGTTGTAGGTACTTATCGCTTGCTATTAGAGACTAGTCATCAAATGGATCTTTTGAACACTTTCTATGTTTTTTCAATTTTTAGAATTTAATTTCACTATCCAAATTAGATGTTGTTTGATATTTAGTTTACTTTGGTTGTGAAAAATAAAGTTTAGTATTTAATTCAATGACAGGTGGTTTTGGTATTCTATATGATGTTTTATATGAAATTTTCCTAAATCATGAATTTGTACAAGCTTTAGTTATCTTACATTCAAATATTGGTTCAAAACATGGTTTAATTAATGACAATTTTTCATTCTTGTGGCATAAAAGGCTTGGGTATATCTCTAAAAAAAGAATTGAGAGATTAGTGAATGATGAAATTTTACAAAATCTTAACTTCACTGGTTTCCAAATATACATAGATTGTATAAAAGGGAAGCAAACTAAACATACAAAGAAAAGTGCCATAAGGAGTAATGAGTTTCTTAAGATAATTCATACGAATATTTGCAGACCACTCTCCATTTCTTGTTTTATTGGAGAGAGATATTTTATCACTTTTATAGATTATCTATCTCGGTATAGTTATGTATATCTAATGCATGATAAGTCTCAAGCCATTGACATTTTTGAGATGTTCATTATAAAGGTTGATAGACAATTAGATAGAAATGTTAAGATTGTAAGATCTGATCAAGATGATAAATATTATAGTAGATATGATGAGTCAAGACAAAATCTTAATTTTTTTGCCAAATTCCTAGTAAAGCATGACATTCATGCTCAAAACAAAATGCCAAGTACACCACAACAGAATGGTGTTAATGAAAGGCATAAGCATACTTTAATGGAAATAGTTACGAGTATAATGAGTTGCTCTTCTATACCTATTTCTTTATGGGATGAAGCCTTAAATACTGCAATATATATCTTAAACAGAGTTCCTAGTAAGACAATATCTACAACTCCTTTCAAGTTATGGGCTAGTAGGAAACCAAGTGTAAGACATTTATATATATGGGGTTGTTCAATGGAGGCAAGAATCTTTAGTCCTCATGAGAAAAAGCTAGATTCAAGAACAATATCAAGATATTTTATTGGTTATCCAAATAAACTTAAAGGATATAGATTTTACTGTCTTAACCATGGTAAGAGATAGTTGAAACTGATAATGCCATATTATTAGAGAATGGTAAAATTAGTGGGAGTGAAGAACTAAGAAAAGTAGACCTTGAAGAAATAACAGTGGATATCTTACAACCCTTTTTGCCTCAAGAAACAATTGTTGCTCAACCTTCTCAATAAGCTATGAAAAATGAGTTACATAGTGGAAATGGTTCATTACCACAAGAAGATGTGTCATTGAAAATATTGTAAAACAACCTCAATCAATGCCTTTCAGAAGATCCTTTAAGGGAAAGGAAATTTATTATATCATATAATTATGTGGTATATCTACAAGAATCTGATTTTGATATTGGGATAAGAATATATCCGGTTACGTTTTTGCAAGCCGTAGAAAGTGATGATTCTAATAAATGGATAGAAGTTATGAAAGAATAGTTGAAATCTATATACCATAATGATGTCTGAGATCATGTCGAATTGCCTGATAATTGTAAAAGTATCGATTATAAATGGATTTTCAAGACCAAACACAATGTTAAAGGCAATATCAAATAATTTAAAGTTAGACTAATGACCAAAGGTTTTACTCAAAAGGAATGTATAAATTATAGAGAGACCTTCTCATCAGTTTCTAAAAAGGACTCCCTTAGAATCATTATGGCACTTGTAACATATTTTGATTTAGAGTTACATCAAATGGGCGTGAAAATTGTTATCTTGAATTTAGATGACAACATCTATATAGAACAACATGAAGGGTTTGCAAAGAAAGGAAAAGAAAACTTGGTTTGCAAATTAAAGAAATCCATTTATGGTCTTAAATAAGTTTCCAGACAATGGTATATACAGTTCAATGATACTATTACATCTATCTGAAAATTAGTGGGAACAAATTTATATTTCTAATACTGTAAATGAATGATATTTTACTAGCTAGTAGTGATCTTGGTTTATTACACGAAACCAAAACATATCTCTCTAAAAACTTTTATATGGTTAATATAGGTAAGATAACCTATGTTATTGGAATAAAAATTTTTAGAGATCGATCTTGAAGATTATTACATTTATCTAAGAAATGATATATTAACTGAGTTTTAGAGAGATTCAATATGCAGCTATGTTCAGTTAGTATTGCACCCATTATGAAGGGTGATAAATTAAGTAAAACTTAGTGCCCAAGGAATGACTTAGAAAGGGAACAGATGAAGAAAATTTCTTATGCATCTGTTGTGAGAAGTTTGATGTAAACTCAAGCCTGTACTAGACTAGATATCAACTATGCTATTGGTATGTTGGGAAGATATCAAAGTGATCTAGGAATTAAACACTGGAAAGCTGTAAAGAAAGTTATGAGGTATCTTTAAGGGACAAAAGATTATACACTCACATATAAAAGATCAAAACAGTTAGAGGTGGTTGGATATTCAGAATCGGATTATGTTGGTTGCCATGACAACTTAAAGTCTACTTTAGATTTTGTCTTTATGCTAGCAAATGGGACAATTTCGTGGAAGAGTGTAAAGCAGTCCATTACTGTCTCATCCATATTGGAGGCTGAGTTTATAGCATGTTTTGAAGACTTAAGTCATGCTTTGTGGTTGCAGAATTTCATCTTAGGGTTTGGTGTTGTTGACTCTATTATCAAACCACTAAGAAAATTTTGCGATAATCGCTGCTGTTTTTTCCTCTAAGAATGACAAATATTCTAGTGGATCCAAATATATGAACTTAAAGTATTTAGTTGTTAGAGAAAGAGTCCAAAACCAACAAGTGTCTATTAAAAATATTGGTACCACACTTATAATTATTGATCCATTGATTAAAAAACTACCTCCAAAGACATATGCATAACATATTGTAAAGTTAGGTCTTTTGAGTAATCCATAAATTAACGATGAATATTTCAATGGTTGAATAATTGATATTTTATGCGTTAAAGTTTGTTTATGTTATTTCTTTTTTTTTTTTAATTATTTGTGCACAATTTAGTATTTAATCAACAGGGAATGTCTTGACAAGACAAATTAAAGACACTGTTTTGGCACTATAGGCTGAATTAGTAAAGGTTATTAATGTGTGATGCATAGAAGGAAACGTGATATTAAAGTCATGTAACTGTTATGATTCACACTTATAATCTAAGTTATTTCAGTATTATGGTATAGTAATTTTGCGCGTGTTGGCTGATTTTATCGAGATCACAATCAATAAATATATTTTTAATATAAAAATGTATATAAATTACTACAGTTTTCATAATCGATTTAGTGGGTCAAATGGGAGAATGTTAATTCCAGTAATTAAGTAGATGACCCACTACCATGATATTTTATTTTTTCTCATCCACTCATAAGGTTGAAACCAAATGAAAGGACACCCAAAATAATAGACAACCGATATAAAAAAAAATATACCTTGATGGAGTAGGTAACCTTAAAATAAATTATAAAATTATTGTATTTTATGAGTATTAAACTATATCAATAGAAACAGTTATCAACATATTTAATTATTATGAATATGTTTTGTCCTCTTCTCTCATTTATAAAATGAACATATGTTTCCTTCATTTGAGTCTTCTATCAACTAAAGTTCTAAAATTTTTATGTATAATAGTTAGATAGAGAGAAAAAATAAGTTAGAGAATTAAGAATTTTTTTCAAAGATTTTCTCAATTATACTAAGATTGCATCATTTTCAAATAATATGTAACTCTAACTTTCAGTTTTTTTTTTTTAAAAATGTGTTAAATTTAATAAAAATAACTTACGTATCAAATTTTCTTATAAAAAGTACTTAAAAATATTGATGATCTTGCATATATTATTAACTAAATATATAATTATTTAAAGGACAGTCTTAAATTTCATTGACTAAAAAATGAAATTAAAGTTGCTGATATAGAAAGTTTTGCTTAACGTTGTATCGTAACAAATGAGTTTTACTAAAAATAATGAAATTGAATTTTGAAGTCAACGTTAAATTTGAATTATAAATTAAAAATTATAAAAAACGTACAATAAAAACTGTATTGTAATTAAATTTGTCTAATTACTAACTATTTTTAGAATTAAAATTATCCAATTAAAAATTGTAGAAAAATTATAGCTAAAAAATTGTGTTAAAATTACACATTTTGAATTAAAAGCCTTGATTTGATGGAATTCGTTAAGAAAATAAATGCATAATTTTTAAACACAGGTAAATTTTCCCTAATGTTTAGCATGAGGAAAATGTATATAATCATTAAATTAAAAAAAAAATGTACCTTGAAAATAGAGGAGGCTGACTTCATTATAATAGCTCAAAGATGCAATTATTTTTTCTAAAATAAATTAACACTTGGTTAAGGAAGCTAAAATTTCATCAAAAGTCTGACCAAAAAAGTCAAGGAAAAAAAGACCTATAAAACAAAAGCCAAAGGCAAAGTAGCAGAAGATCAATCAACTGCCTCTTGTACAACAATTTCTGTCGTCCATTCATCTGACCAGTCTGTTAGTTTACAACCTTATGATAACCGTATTCACCAACTTTCCTGTGGGTCTACCAATCTTTTCTGGAGAGATCTGTTTTCCAGAACTGGGTGCACTAGTTTACAACCTTTTGAAATCTACTTCCAAAATCCCCAACCTTTCTCGAAACAAGATGTAACTCTGGTTTCAAAGAATAAAGAACATGCTACTTGACATGCCGTGATTTTATATGTACAACCATAATCCACAGTAACCGGCAATGCTACATGATCTATGCCTACAAGAAATTGCATCAACTCCGCAATCATCATGGCTGAAACACCTGTGGTCACTACGAGCATCGGGGACATGACAAGCACTCTCAACCTGTTGGTCACCATGGATTGGATTCAAAGTTGTTGCAGGGCAGACTTGTAAAGACATAGCACTTGCTTTCCTTCTTTGCGTCTGAACCTGTACGATTAAAATTTTCATTCAGCTATTTGTCTTGGCAATAATTGTCAATGCAACTTTAATTGCAGAGAAGGCTTCATTGAAGATACAAGTTGGAATATACTTTCTTTTTCAAGAAAAATTATCATATAGAGAGACCAGACAAAGAAAACCTTGAAAAAAGTCCAGTTGGTTGGAATGTAAGTCTCTGGCAGCCTCTCATGCCAAGAACTTAAAACTGGGAGAGGGTGACCCTCAGTTGTGAATATATAGTTCCGATCAACCAAAAATGAATCATCAAAAAGAAGGTATAAATACTTGCATCTACAAAAATGAAAAGAGCAACGTGAATATCATCTGCATTTCCTTCACAATGGTTTGAGGAAGAAAAGAAAATATCACAAAAGTGATGTTACGTTTCTGCAAGAAAGAAGCTATGTTGATGATCCTCCATTTGCATTGTTGTTACATCTCTAATGCTAGCAAAACCACCTTCCACTTTGGTGTACAAATTAAGAGAGTTGACAATTAATTCACCAACTTCCATATACCATGGATCTGAAAACAAGCAGCATATAGCAACCAAATAAGAAACACAAAAGTTAAAAGAAGAAAAGGAAGAAGGCATAGCTTTCAAATGAGCAAAGAGAAGTCAACAAAATTAAGTTACAGAACTATGAAAGACAAAAGGTTTAGCACTCCAACTCAAATGGAGAATAATTGATGCAGAAGATTGCGAGACCTTTGGTGGCTTGATACAAATAGAATGTGGATTCTGCCAATTCAGGACGCAAAGGATAATATTTCTCTGTAGGATGTAACATTTGATGATCCAGAAGATACCTAACAAGATGGCAATTCAAGTAGCTTTCCATAGTAAGAAAGGTAAACTGAAACCACTAGTAGTGGAGACTAAGAAAAGAGTAACAAGAAATAAAGGTTAATATTGGAAAAATTCAATACCTTTCGGGTTGTACTCCAAACTTTTCCCATACATGAACAAACTCGCGATGTGATGAATTAGCAGCTGGGATATCCCCAACAAGAACCTAATTATAAGAACCCAAATGAAATACAATCAGAAGATCACTCTCCAAGCAGTCCTATAACTTAAAATAAGGACTTCAGCTACTTGCCTGCAGACCAGGCCAAAATGCTTGGAGACTTGTGAGCTGCCAATAGGTTGCTTTTCCAGTTCTCATGTCAGCTTCATGGTACCTAAATTGGAAAATTGTTATTCCTAACCACAGGAAAAAAAATTATTTCTTTCCTTTACATTTGAAATTTGTTAAATATTAATATATAAACATGTTATAGCCCTACTAAATTTTCCAAGGTAAAGTAAGCAAATAGATAGAGGATGTAGTCTTGCAGAATGTGGCTACTGCATACTAACTTCAAAATGTGAAAAGTCACAAAATTATTGATTGAGTAAATCATTGCTAACTTGGCTCTAGTTCTGAAGAAATACAGAGTAATTTAGAGATGGGATTCTAACAATGTTCTTACTCCTTTCTTAGTTATCATCCACCACCAT